TCCCACTCCCCAGCCCACGCTGTAAGGATAAGCCATCCCTAAAACAGGAGCAGAGGAGAAGCATGTTCCAACAGTGGCCAAGTTTGAAGTGGCAGAGCCTGAGTTCGGAAACACCAAAGCCTGTGGCACAGAGACTGTGAGGCAGAGCAAGGGAAGCAGCACCATGACCATGACACTGAGACGGGGTTGGGGGAAAGGCTCCTAGTACAGAAAGGCAGAGGACAAGGGACCAGGTGGCCCAAAGGCTGAGGACTGGAAAGGGACGTGGTCGTTGGCCAGGAGAGGTGTTGCTGTGGATCAATGACTGCATACGGGCAGAGTAGTTATGAGTTCAGCAGCAATCTGTAAGGTCAGTGGTTCTAAACCACCAGCCGCTCCATGAGAGAAAGACAGGGCTTTCTACTCTCATCAACAGTGACAGTCTCTGAAATTCCCAGGGGCAGGACTCTGTCCTACAGGGTCCCCGCGAGTCAGTATTGACTCGATAGCAGTGAGAATCCTGACTTGGAGTAACCTATTAACTTCCTTAGAAAACTTCCTAACTGTGAGTATTGTCTGGGAGTTCTGTGTGGCCATTACAACAAACTACCACAGCCCAGTGTAACTACAGAGGGGTGGGCGAGGAAAGGTTGTTGCCAGAATACGTAAAGAAGGATGGAGCAAGGAGGCATGTTTGACCCCTGCCTTGTGGCAACAGGGAAGCCAAAGGAGGTCAGATCTTTGCCCTGGTCTTTTTCCCTAGTCTGTCTTAATCTGGAAGCCCTGCCGCACCTGTTCCCTGTGGGTGACCCATTGGTGTATGAAATACAATTAGTATCAATTTCCAGCTTCTTAGCAAGATGCAAGTCACCCCAGGACAACTGAGAGGCAAATGATGGGAGATTAAAAGTAGCTAATATTTATCCAGCATTCCCTGTGTACCCGGCTATCTTCTAAGCATTTCACATGCATTAACTAATTCAATCTTCACAAAGAGATGGTTCCTATTACTACATTATATTGATGGGGAAACGTAGAGAGGTTTAACTGATTTCCCAAAATTGCACAGTTTGGAAGTGATAGAACTGGGAATGAATTTTGGACTTCTGGTTCCAGTCTTATATTCATAAGTTCTAAGCTGAATGGACACACGGAGCTCAATCCACCATGCTTGCGTGGACTACAGAGGAAAGCACACATGAACAATGTTTAAGAAATAGAGACAGCATTAAAAAAAAGTCTGGAAGAAAGATGATAATATCTAGAAAATGTATAGACCAGCCATAATGTACATATTTCCAAGCAAACATAAATAAAAAACGTGAAAGAGAAGACATGATTAAGAGAAACAGTGCACTTGGTTTATTCTGTATCAATTTTGCTTCTCAAAACAGATCGTGCACCCTTTCCCAGGCCCATTCATCATTAATGAAAACTGACCTTTAGCAGATCACAAGAAAAAGAGGTTGGAATAGGTCTTAAAAAAATCCACAGATGAAATTCTCTGACAAATTAACAAGAAAACACAGGCACGACCAAGAGATTCAACCAACCTCAAGATTTTTTTAAAACCCAACTATCATACCTGGATTCTATTTTTTCCAAAGGTGTTTAATGTCAAAGAGAATTTAAACTGCAGCGAATTACTAATTTTGAGCCTTGGAGGCAGAGTGGCTATGTCTGAAGGTGCTAATTTCAAGATCAGCAGTTCAAAATCACCAGCCACTCCCTGGAAGAAAGACAGAGCTTTTTACTCCTTAAAGAGTTACCTTCTTGGAAACTCACCAGAGCAGATTTAACTTGCCCTATCGGGTTGCTATGCGTTGGCATTGACTCCATGGCTGTGAGTTTTGGTTGGTTTTTTTTTAATGATTAATTTCAAAGATTGATCTCTGGGTCAGACTGGGCAACCCTGTCTGCCTTACTTCATTCTCAAAGCTACAAGGTTTGCATTAAACAGCGCTGGAAAACAAGAAAAGATGCTACTGGGGTCCACAGATTGTGAGGAAGTCCTGGAAGACAGGGAACAGGAGACACGTACCACCCACGATATGCCTGGGGGTGATCCTGCAGAGGTAAGCATGGTTGAGATGCTCTGAGCTCAGGAGGAGCACATGCCAAGAAGAACAAGGGGCCCGGAGTCACCTTTAAGATGGTCAATCGTAATGACCTCGAAAATAAAACGGTCACTGGGTTATTCATTCTTCATCTGTTCATGTGCAGCTGCAGAGGTCGTGACCATTGGGCCAAGGAGAAACCTGGGAATCCTTGAACATCTGTCTGTCTGGAGAAGCCTCATGGTGGGGCCACAGGGTGCTAGGAAAAAATATTGCCGGGATTCCTCCATACGTTTAACACAGCATTTCCCTAAGAGCCATCTATCTAAGTCTCAAAGGAATTGAAAGCAGAGATTCAAAGAGATGTCGGCTAATGTTCGTGGCAACCTTGTTCGCAATTGCCAAAGCGGGGAACTGTCCTGGGGCCTACCCACAGCTGAATGGATGACCATTTGGTGGTCTGCACATTCAATGGAGGGTGACGCAGCTATACAAACATCGATGTCTTGAGACATACTCCAGCGTGGACGTACCCTAAACCCACATTTCCCGTCAGGAAAAGGCCTGAAGGGACAATGGGCACTCCTGTCCCCATCGGCACCCACCAGCCTAGACTCCTTTCACAGGCATGGATTCACAGCAAGGATCAGCTAGACGCCAAAGGAGCAGTAACACAGGGCAAGGAGGACCAGGGGGGATCAAGCAAAGCAACATCCCTTCACTGCATGATGAGGAAGCCCCTTCAGGGACACCCGAGAACAGGGGGAAGAACCTTCCGACATCCTTTGGAGGTGTCCCAGCTGTACTCCCAGGGGAAGGCGAGCCTGGCTTAGTCTGGAAGAGCATGCACAGGACCAGGACCGTGGCGAGAACGTGAGCAGCTTCAGGAGCACTGGCGGGCTTGCGAGGGGGCTGGAAGCCCAGGCTGCAGAGGCTTAGACCAAGAACAGGCCCTAGAATTGTGCCTGGAGGTTGGGTTAAATTTTAGCCACAGCCTGGTAAACCCCGGCGATGCTTCGGTGGCAGATTCGGAAGATGCTCCGAGGAAGGATGTTAAACATTAGAAAAAGGAGGTAAAAAATAAATAAGGATAAGGAAGAAGGCTTGGCCCTCACATAGCCTAAAAAGTAGGAGCCAAACCCGAACCACTTGCGCTAGAGTTTGTTCCGACCAGTGGAAGCCTCCCAGGTGTCTGAGGAGAACTGTGCCCCACAGCAGCGCCAGTGGCTGACTTCCTGGGCCAGCTCTTCATTTGTGGCCCCTCTGCGTGAACTAGACCTGCCAACTTCTCAGGCAGCAGGGAGCACATGAACAGCGCACCCCCAAGGGCTCCAAGCTCCCTTCTCGCTTACCGAGAGGGAAACATCGATAGGAACGAACAGGAGCCGGGACACACGTGTAATATGCGTGTGTACCTGTATGGAAAAGGTACACACCACACTGTAGATGATACATTTGCATATGCCATCTCTGGGAAGAAGAGGAGAAACGGGTCAACAATGGTGTGGGGGTTCTTGGCTATCAAACCAACAGAAAAGTCTAAATATCCCACACTCCGTGTTTTTGAGTCGGCTCCAACTCATAGCAACCCCCTTGGCCAGTCTCTGTTGTCCTGTAGGGTTCCCAAGGCTGTAAATCTCTATGGAAACATATGTATACATCTGTCTCCTACAGCGGCTGGTGGCTTCAAACCACCAAGCTTATGGTGAGCCGCTGAGCACGTTGGACCCCTGCATCACCAGCATGTGGGCCAACCCGGGGGGAAAGACCCGTGAAAGCCTTACCTGACTCCATTCAAACTTCCTGCCATGCAGTCGATCCTGAATCACAGTGACCCCATAGGGCAGAGTAGAACGGCCCCTGTGGGTTCCATTACTCCTTACAGGGTGTACAGAGCCTCATCCTTCTGCCAGGAGCCGCTGGTGGGTTCAAAGAGCTGACTTGGTGATGAGTAGCCCAATGTATAACCACTATGCCGCCAGGCTGCCTGACTTCATAACAACCATAAATCCCAGCCAGACTAAGGTTCCCTGTACGGAAACACCTGGGGACAACGGATCACCTCGCTGGGACTTTCTAGGAATGACTCTTCGAGCTGGTGTGATGGGGATAGAAGACTGATGATTTTTATCACACAAAATTGCTGAATGTGGTGCTGAGAGGGCAAACAGCAGACAGAAACCCCCTGTCTGTCTGCAGCATTTAATCCCATGGATAATGCTACTGCTGGCACCTCCTGAGAACTCTCCCCACGGCGCCAGCCATAGGGTTCCTTCAATGCATAGCCTGAACCTGGCCTCCGCGTGCCAGTGGGAAAGAACGATGCCGCCTGCTCTTGCACTGTTCCCACGACAGGCTGCAAATCTCTTGTGACCATAGCGTTTTCACGGGCTGATTTCATAAGTAGATCACCAGGCCTTTCTTCCTAGTTCATCGTGATCCGGAAGCCCCTCGGAAACCTGATCAGCATCATAGCAACAGAGGCAGACTGGGGGCTGGGTGGGGGTTGTCCCTGAGGTGCGTTGACTGGGAGTCAACCTGACTAGGTGACAATTCTACCGCTGAGCCCCCACCGCCCTCACCGACTGGAAAGAGCCACTAGTCCAAGCCCCAAGGATGGACCCAGGCACAAAGAGGGTAAGTGACTTCCCCGAGATGCTCCGTGCACAGCAGGGACCGGCTGTCTCTCACCAGCACTCAAGGCTGCATCTCAGAGAGCCAAGGCACAGCTTGTCAGATGAACAGAAACCTTTCAGAGCGATCAGAAAAAGCATCCAAGTGGGAAACAAGGCAAGAGATATCACCAGATAATAGACACATCAGTCAAATCAATATATGACAGGAGTGCCAACTGGTTTAACTGTGAACTGCAGAGGAAAGCAAAGACAACGTGGTAACAAGCCTGCTTAGCAAATTGGCTAAGATAGACCATTATAACAACAATCCCAGAGCCTGCTGGTGTCCGTGTAAGCAGGACTCTCGGCCTGCAGCTCGCTGTAGGAACACAGCACCTCAGGGTCCCTCCCAACCCATGATCCACGAGGAAGCCAACGTGCACGTGCTTCCAGAAACTATGCAGCGAGTTCATGACACTCCAGAGAAGGAACGACATGTCCTTGCCTGGATTCCTGGTCCCCACCGGCCTCCCACTCCCTCTGGCACTCAGCAGCAGGCCGGCTAAGGACTGGGCTGCCCTCTTGGGCAGAGAGCCAGCCCCAGAAATCAGGTTGAGGCTGCAGGGCGACTCACACACAGGCACAGGTGAGTTTGGGGAAAACCAGAGTGAGGTGTGTGACGGCTGCCCCTGCCTTCTCAGGTGTCCTCTGCTGAGTCCTTAAGGAGCAGACCTGTGTGTCCCTGGGGCTCTTTGCTTCTACCCTCCCCCCACCCCCACCGATGCCCCCGTTTTAAGGGCTCCCGCTATTTAACAAAGAGGAAGCCTCCAGTTTGGCGGCTGAGGTTCCCGGCTGCTGCCGCTGGCTGGACGTGATGTCTGAGATCAGGACACCCACCTGCTGGAGCTGCCACCTGCTGCTGCTGCTGCTGCTGCTGCTGCCCCTGAGGCTCTGTGTTGGGCCAGAGCCCCCCAGGGAGGTGGGGAGTGGGGTGGGGGAATTGGGCTCAGAGAAGAGCACCGGAAGTCAGTGCTGTGAGAGGCAGCCAGGGCCAGGCTCCTGAGCAGAGAAAGTGAAACTGTGCAGAGCCGAGGGAACAGGAAGCTGAGCAGGGCCCAGGCTCCTCCTCTGGGCCTGACCAGGCTCCCAGCCCTGTAGAGCGGAACACAGTGTCAGGGCTGCCGGCCAGGACCGGCCGGGGAGGAAGGTGCCCAGCAGTCCAGCCCCAGGACCCACAAGTGCTCAGATGCCCAGACTGCCTCCCGGCCCACCTCACCCTCACCAGGCCTGTCCTGTTTCTACACGCTCGGATGTGTCCTAAAGTTGAACTGCATGGAGAGTTACACAACTGAATCCATTTCCTGAAAACGCTGGCCTTTAAAACAGACACAGGAACCTGAAGGAGGTGTGAAGTGACCCAAGTCTTCACCATGTGTGAGGATGGGAGGGGAGAATTACCCAGGAGAACATGGAAAGACGGCAAGCACAGACTGAACATGAGCTGACATCCCGCAGAGAGGTTGGCAGACCTGGGAGCTGAGGAGCAGGCGGGAGCCAGCGAGGGTTCGGGATCCAGGTCCAAGGCAGAGCGGGGCCAAGACAGGATCTAGAACAATCAGAAGCCAGGACTCAGCAGCCCAAGGAGCGGCAGGGGACCCTCCTCACCAGTGCCCACTTCATAGCTCTCGGTGGTGCCAAGGACCACACCTGGCCAGTGACTGGAAAGGAGGAGGCTTGGAAGAAAGTGCCCGGAGCCGACCTGGGAGCACCCAGGCACTGACCACACTGGAGCAGTTCTATGGGACGTGGAGTCGCCGTGAGGCAGAGGCAACTGGATCGCAACTTGTTTTCAGTGCACATTGTCATGACAGAGTCGAGGAGTCCTGAAGTACACACACTTATTTCGATCACTAATTCGCTAATGCTTTGTCTCCCTCCGGGGCCACCCACAGGCCCCTCAGAAGAAAGATTGGAAACCGGGTTCTAGGGTCTATCGGCCCCACTGTGAGGATTTCTTATTTCATTTTTTTACCTGGAGTTACTGAATACTCAATGTGCTTCGAGACCTCTTTGCTTTCAGCAAGCAAGGCGTTTCTTTTAGTGCTGGCTCATGTTCACTGCTGTGCAGTTGGACCGTAGTAAGAGGCTGGAAAGAGCCAAGGAGCCCGACAACAGAAGAAAGGAGACAGGAGCCCACGTGCCCATGCCCACACAACGGAGCACTCTACATCCCCCCGACCCCCCCACAGTGGCTGAAGCATGAGACATCCCACGACATGGAAGGACCCAGAAACCATCATGCTGTGTGAAGTTCGCCGAACACCCGGTGAACCCACCACAATGAAACACACCAAGACACGGACAGGCCTGCGTGCCCACGTCACTCAACCTCCAATCCAGTCTCACAAACAAAGAGGCAGAGAGTCCGCCCAGCACCCACAAACCACATCAACCCCCGCCCCATAGGCACACCTCAAAAACTACACTGACAGAGGGGGCCCCATCCCAGCTGGGGCTACTCCCCAAAAAGGGGTGAAAGGGAGAAGACCATTCACACGCTGCCACACAACACCCCAGCCAGGTCACACCAAATCAACAGACCTTCCTACATTCCGGACCCTGGCCAGCAGTGTACTGTGCTGCGGACCTTGTGGCTGGGCTGCCATGCCCCAGGGAGGCTGGGGCTGAGGATAGCTATGCCCATGAGATGCTTAGCTCACTGCCTTGTGCCCCTCAAAGGACCACACACACACACTCAGGGTCAAATACAAATAGACAGGAACACCCACATCTGTGTGTAGCCCCAGGTAGGCACAGGGCCCTGCACTGGTGAAGGCAGCATCATCCGGGTTCTGGGATCACTTTCAACCAGATTGCAGCTCCTCTTTTGGGAAGAGCACAAATGCAGACATAGGCAGAGGAATGCAAATCTCTCCCGCTTTGCATTTTGAAATTTATTTATCCCCCTTTCTATCGCATTTAGGTGGGAGAAAGATGAGGTTTTCTACTCCCACGAAGAATTACCATCTCAGAAACCCACTGGGCCAGTTCTACCCTGTTCTATAGGCAGAAGCGCCCCCAGCTGCAGTTACCACCTGGTTGTGCATTCCTGACCTCTCTGCCCACACTGGGCACTTGCCTGATGGCAATGGCATAGAGGACTCTCTGTTTCTTCCCGGGCTGTGTCCACGAGGCTGAGAACATCCTCCTCCATGGCTCACCCACGCCCAGGACAGGACGCCGGAACCTGACTTGCTGGTCAACGTTTTCACACACAAAAAAATCCCAGCCTCAAGCACCGAAGGATGCTATGGGTAAATATTGAATGGTGCAGGAAGCATCAAACGAAGATGGAAGGACTACACAAGAGTCACTGTACCAAAAAGAACTGCTGTTGTTAGGTGCCATCAAGTCGGGTCCCCCTCATAGCCACCCTGGGTCCCACAGTGCAGCAGTACTGCTCCTGGACCCTCCTGGCCATCCTTGCTATCATGGCAGTCACTATGTCACTCCATCGCCTTGAAGGTCTTCCTGCTTTGTGCTGGCTCTCCCTGTAGAGCGGATTCAACTGGAGGGCAGTGCGCTTGGTTCAACATTACCAAGCATGGTGCCCTTCTGCAGGTCTCCTACTGAAACGTGTCCAAAGGATGGGAGGGAGGAGAAGCTTGAACTCAAACAAGCAGCCATCTAGAGGAGAAGCAACAACGGCCACCTGGAAGAAGCACACCAGCCTGTGTGATCACGAGGTGCTGATGGGAACAGGCATGAGAAGCTCAAAAATAAACAACCTCATCAAGGTGATGGAGAAGGGTCAAGGTAGAGACCCAGAGCCCATCTGTGGATAATTGGGCTGCACATTCCCACGCAGTGGGGCTGCGCAGAAAATGTATCCAGGGGCCAGTTTGGTGCTGACGAAACACACAACACTCTTCTAGTTCTTTAATCCTTCTTCCCCCCACTATTATGATCTCAGTCCTATCTCGCAAACCCCACTAGACCGGTGTACATACAGCAGTACATAAGAAAGCTTTCAATATACGGATCTCAGGATAGACAAACCCCCTCAGACACAGTAGTGGGAGTAATGGTTCCAGGAGGGTAGGGGAAAGGATAGAATGGGTGATGTAAGATATGTATAAGTAGTAATAGCAATACATAATTATTAAGGGTTCACAGGGGTGGCAGAGTGGGGAAGGAAGGGAAAAAAAGCTGATTATCAAAAGGTCCAAGAAGAAAGATAATGTTTAGAAATTGTGGAAGCCAACAATTATACATGTTCGCTTAATATAATGATGTATGGACTGTTATAATAAAGGTAAAAAGCCCCCAATAAAACCATTTATTAAAATAAATAAGCAAATGCTTCCAATGGCTTAGGACAGTCAAATCGCTGTCCCAGGAACAACCACCAGGATTGTCTGCAGCTGAGGCCTGCCCTGATTCTGGGGTCCTCCATGCCAGGAGGCAGGCTCAGCCTGCAGGAGGGTGCAGAGGGTAGGTCATCCCAGGACCCTTGCAGAAGGAAGATCCCCCCGTGCTCAGGGCACAACGGGGCTCTGAGAGGGACAGAGGATTATCAGGCAAGATTGGAACAAGAACAGCTGACTACTAGGGTAGACCTATTGAGAGTGTAATACTGGCCCTGACCACTAGAGGGAGGAGTAGCCTGCTGGAGGGAGTGGGGAGGAAAGGCATACTGAACCTGGGGTTTGGGGGAGGGGGGGGCGTGTCTGAACTGGTGAGTAAAAACAGCTCATACTTGATAGCTGAGAAACACGGCAGAAGTGACAGTTCCTTCCTGCCCTTGTGTCCCCAGGGTGTGTCGTGGCTGGGTGAATAGAGCATACAGAATGGAGTCACCATGGACAGTGAAAAGGCTGACAAGAGGGCCACCGAGAATAAAGACGTCAACGACAAACTGGCTGACTTCAAGAAGGACACCGAAACTGACCAGAATCCAAGGCTACCAGACTAAATGTTTGGGGTCAGACTCAACACCCACAATCACACCTATGGCTATTACCCCCACCCACCCCCTGTTTTGTATAAATATCCAGCCAAGAGTCCAGAGAGGTGGCGTTTTCTTGATCGTTGCTGCAACGGAGCGGCACTCTCACTTGTTCTTGTTTTTCTTGACTTGCTATTAATATGTGTGGATGCCCATGGGAATAAATTGGCTAAAAGAGTGTCTGACTCATAGAGTGTGTGATGCTCTTGAAAGACCCTGGCCCAGTCACTGTGGGAAGCTTAGCGTCTGCAGGTGGCTGCCCCGAGGCATAAGCAGACTGATTTTAAGCTCCATCTTGGGGACATAAGATGCTCTGGACACTGGGGAAGATGCACTGGGTGCAACCAGTGGATCTCCAGGAGAAGGGGGGCTGACCACTTAACCAGGGATCAAGGGTGTCTGTCCCCAGCCAGCTCTGGGTACCAGGTCACTCATCCTTCCCTGAGGCCGGCCCCAGCCCTACACGGAAAGGTAGGCAGCTGCTGAGTTGGGTTGGGATCCTGAGCAGCCTCCATCCTGCTTGAGCTGTGCAAAGCATGTGGGCATCCCCAGACCAGGGAAAGTAGTTCCTATGGATTCTTGTGTCCCCAGATCTCCATTCTCTTCCTTCCTGGCTACCGCCCTTTAACCTCCTCTGTGAGCTGTCTTTTCCCATGCCCCTTCCAGGTAGGAACAACCACCTCCCCTCTCCCAGGAGCCCTTGGCGCCGAAGGAGTTAACAGAGACTGAGGACAGTGGAATGTTTCCATGGATACCAGATATCCCTGGGCACCTGGGCTGCAAATGGCTCAGATGTCATTCTGGGAGCAGGACCTGTCCGACAGCACTATGCCCCTTCCCAAGGACAAACTCCTTGAGTCTCCTGATAAGGCAGTTAGGAGAGCCTAGTGCTTCGTCTGCTCCCTCTTACTAACCCATGCCTTAGGGAGCTGAGAAACTAAAAGACCGTGCAGGGCAGCCATCTGGGCTACAGCCAGCACAGAGGTGCCAGCCCTTCGCTGGCGTTAAACCACATTTCCTGTGTCCATGTC